GCACTGAATAAATTATGCAAGTTGTCAATGAATGACTGATCAACTAATAGCTCTGCTAGTAATTGATTTATTTTTCTTCAATAAAGTTGCATAAACCAATGAGTTAGCTGCCTGTATTAATCAGTATGGGAAACATTCTTTTGTAAATGCAAAGCTTTTTTTTGTATATACTGCTGGGAATTGCTTCATTGTTTGACATCAAATGATAAGTTCAAAAAAATGGATATTTTGCCATGTTCAGTTAGAGTGCACAGTCTGATACAGGTTGACACATACCCGATGTATGCAGAATTAATAGGCTATTCAGATAGTGCAGCTTTAGTATGCTGCACCACGATACTGGCAACCCTGGAGTTCATAGATGGACTTGGGAGTCAGCAGTTTTGAAGCGTGTATATGGAATTTTAAGAATTTATTTTCCAGGTGCAGTCCCATCTAACTAAAATTTATCTTTACCTTGAATACTTGACAGCTGATAAAAACATAACTTGGGAGTGATAATGGGTCAAAAGTTATAAATGAAGTACTGTGTCAGTGTGGGAAAAAAATAAATTCCAAGTTATTTAGTGGAAATACTTTTGAGGTAAAGCAAAAAATACTTAACATTCTTTAAGTTGTGACTTCTTTAAGAGTGTGCTAAATTCTGCTTCTTAACCCTAAAACCTCAACCTAGACATTTAGTAAGTTCTGTTTTGTTTTCAAATGGTGAAATAAAAAGTTTTATTATAAAAATTATAATATATAAATATTCAAAAATAATTTTTGTCCCCATTAGGGTTTCCATTTAATGTTCATGTTGACAGGATATTTTATAAAGCATCTGTTAGTCAGCTGTTTGTTACTTTAACCAAAATACTCAAGAGAAGCTACTCAGGAAGGAATAAGGCTCATTTCAGGAGGTTCACAGTCCGTGCTCAGGCGGCCTCATAGGTTTAAGCATCTAGTAAGGCTGAAGAATGGCAGAGGGATGATCACGTGGTGAACCAGAAACAGGCTCTGCTTATTTAACCAACCCTGCCTCTAGTCCTGCCTTCTGAGATCATGCCTCCAGTGTACCCACACCTCCCCCTGCCATGAGACTCATCTCCTAGATGGCATAGCTATATCAAGCCTTCCACCTATAATCAATCCATCAACCATTTAACATTAATCCAATAAACATTAACATAAGGCTTTGGGGAACCGAATTGTATTCTAAGCATAAAATAAATCATCCTTTATTTTATGAATTATTTTTTGAAATAAAATTTAACCCATGTTTGTAAATCTTCATTGTTGACATTTTTTAAAAAGTCATAAACCAAACCAATTAAACATTTTTATTCAATATCCATTAAAGATTTGTGTACGTGAATGTAGGAATAAATTTGTATATATATATATATATGGTATATATATTTTTGTGTTGCTTTATGATATACTTGACTAGTAATGATATTGTCATAAAGCAAAAAAAAAATACAGCATCATAATATTAATTCAGTGCATCTTATGTTACAGTGTGCACACACAGTCTTTATTACCAACCAGATTGAATTCATGGTGGGGAATATAAGGTAATGAGTGTTTTAGACACTGAGAGGGAGAAGCTGTCTAGATAACCTCACAGAGACATGATGTCTCTAATTTTAGGAAGCGGTTAGTCATGAAGTATGTTCCTGAAGCAAGATTTTTTTCTTTTCGTTCATCCTCTTATATCATTGATGATGAGTTTTTGTAGGACAGTATTTTTATTCAGTTTTTTTTTCTTGCTGTGTATTCATTTTGGATTTAAAAACCTGAGGAATGGGTCTTTGCTTTTTTTTATATTCTTGGAGAAGAATCTATGCCTTATTTAAGAAATAATCCATTTTCTTATTCTGTAGGATTTAACATGAGAATATAGTCCTCTTCAACTAGTATGTCGAAATACCATGTTTCTCCACTCAGATAAAAACTGATTTGATTCTAAACGATTTAAAATCAGCAGTGGTTTGAAAGTAAACTTTGGGGCTGGTGCTGCGGCTCACTAGGCTAATCCTCTGCCTGTGGCGCCGGCACACCGGGTTCTAGTCCCAGTTGCTCCTCTTCAAGGCCAGCTCTCTGCTGTGGCCTGGGAAGGCAGTGAAGGATGGCCCAAGTGCTTGGGCCCTGCACCCACATGGGAGACCAGGAGGAAGCACCTGGTTCCTGGCTTCGGATCTGCACAGCATGCCGGCCGTAGCGGCCATTGGGGGGTGAACCAACGGAAGGAAGACCTTTCTGTCTCTCTCTCTGTCTAACTCTGCCTGTCAAAAAAAAAGTAAACTTTGGAGCGCTAAATTCCTAAGTATTTGTTGTAGTCCAAATATACAAGTATTGTCTTACACAAGAAGGCATGAAGATTTTTCTTTTGGTGTAAATCGGGGGTGAGGCACCTTTTTTCTGCCAAGGGCCATTTTTACATTTATAACATCAGTCATGGGCCATACGAAATTATCAACTTAAAAATTAACCTAATTTACTGAATTTTGAATCCTTCCTGCAGTTGCCTTGGCAGGGCCAGACCACCAACTGATTTTGCAGATCTTAACCCTGTAAATTGTAGTTGTGAAACTTGATTATGCCATGCTTTTGAATTTGGATCTTTGGTACTTTAGGATAGCTGATGAGTTTTAAAATATATGAAAATATACCATTCAATCAAATGAATTTGTTACTTGAAACTATGTTTACATTTAAAGTATTACATACTGATATTTAATTTTATTTCTATTTTATTTGAAAAGCAGAGAGAGATTGAGGTGTTTCATCTGCTAGTTCACTCCCCAAATGCCTACAGCAACCAGGGCTGGACTAGACTAAAACCAGCAACTGAGAACTAAGTCAGTGTTTCCCATGTGGATGGAAGGGATCCACATATTTGAGCCATCACTGCTGTTTCCCAGGGTTCACATTAGCAGGAAATCTGCATTGGAAGTAGAACTAGGATTTGAACCAGGTACTCCACTATGGGATACTGGAATCCCAAGCAGCAACTTAACCAATGTGCCAGACACTTGCCCCCCTTATAAATCTATAGCAGGCTAATTTTTTAAGTTGATCATTTTTATGGCCTGCAAATGATATAAATACCTAAATGGTTCTTGACAGAAAAAAAGATTCCCCACCCCTGATTTAGAAGAAGGCCTGTGTAAGATTGCTTTTCTAATCTCACAAGCTCCTTTTCCCTATGTGTGTTCCATGCAGATATGTGTGGCGTTGCTTGCTTGCTTTTTTTTTTTTAAGATTCATTATATTTATTTGAAAGGCAGAATGTGTGTGTGTGTGTGTGTGAGAGAGAGAGAGAGAGAGAGAGAGAGAGAGAGAGAATCTTCCATCCACTGGTTCACTTCCCAAATGGCTGCAACAGCAAGGGCTGGGTCAGGCTGAAGCCAGGAACTGCATTCAGGTCTCCCATATGAGTGGAGGGGGCCCAAGCACTTGGGCCATCTTCAGCTGCTTTCTTAGGCACAGTGGTAGGGAGCTGGATTGGAAGTGGAGCGGTACCCATATGGGATGCCACCATTGCAGTTGGAAACTTAACCCATTATACCACAACACCAGCCCCTGGGAGTTGTTTTCTCAGGTTGCCTGGTTCTGTTCTCTCCCGCCTACTTTCATCCGAACTTACTGTTTCCTTTGTCTCTGCTATTCCCTTCCTGCTTGTCTTGATTCCATTCCCACTAGTTTCTATGTATTGTGGGCTCTGTGTTTGTGATGTTCACCAGGACCAGGTTTCTCCAAGTCCCTGGGCTAACCATAGGCCTGCCTTGCACTCACCAATACTAGAGTAGGCTAACAGCTTCCTGATTTCAGCTGCTCTCAGATTGACCCCTCTTACCTCACCCCCCACCCCACGCCTTTTCCGGCTAATACCTATTGGCTGTTTGGGGTTCTTCTGCCCTCAGATAGCTCAGATACTCTGGTTTCCCTCTGCTTTCTCCAACAAACCCACTGATAATACACAATTCTTGAGAATATGTGATGGCTAATAGGGAATACTTTTCCACCTTGTTGTTTGTAAATGTTTCCCATGGGTTTTGGGTTTTCAGTCTAGTTGCTCCAACCGTTTTTTGTGGGAAACCTAGAAGGTCTACAACTCCTGTGTCTGTCCTCTTAGAAAATCCGGATGCACTAAATTTATAACTTGATGTGGGGAGTGGTTGGCAAGAAGTCAGATGGCTGAGTTTGAATAATGAAGTTTACAAATTCTGTTTAAGAACAGGAATCATATTCTCTCTGTAAAAGTTGGAAAAAGACTAAGCAGCCATTCACTGCTTCTTATAAAAAGAAGCCTTTATCAGAAAAAAAATCATAGAAAAAAGCTTGAAGAAAAATAACTTAACTGATAGTGTTGAAAGCAGTTTGTGTTTCTGGCACCGAAAAGGCTCCTACTCTCAGTCACAGAGACAGGGTGTATTCACATGATATGCTGCATCTCTATCATTGTCTGGCTCTGTGCTAAAGTTTTTGTGCAGATCAGGTCTCGTAAACAGAGGATTACATGGATTACTATTCGTTGTTCAGACTTGGTCTTAACCAAAAAATTTACTGAATATTGTTTGTCCTTATTCCTTAAAAATAGTAGTAACATTTTAAATTTACTCTGATGGCTCTATGAAGTAGTCTGTTTACAAAGGGCCAATTTGCTTAGCTTCATTCACTGAAAGGCAGCTAGTATTGAAATGTATGTCTGCTTCAAGTTCTTTTATATGCAGGACTCTCTCTTTAAACATAAAGGATAATATACATGCACACTATTTTAGATGAATTTACATTACAGTGATCCTGGATTTTGAAACTTAACTTTCAATATAAAAAGTTCAGTTTTCAGCCGCACAGCCATCTGCTTGAGTTACATATAAGAAGATAAAAAGGTGAGACTATTTAAACTTAAAAGAGAAGAAAATGGGCAAGTTGCATATGACTTCTAAGTGAGATATTATGTTCCATGCTTTGAATATATATATTCTTTGTTTTTTCTCAATTTTTCTTTGAAGGTCTCAACCGATTTCTTCTCCAGTCATTCTCCAGTTTGGTCATGCAGAGACCCTTCTACCACTGCTTTCTCTCATGGGCTACTTCAAAGACAAGGAGCCCCTGACAGCTTATAATTATAAGGAACAAATGCATCGGAAGTTCCGAAGTGGTCACATTGTACCTTATGCCTCAAACCTGATATTTGTGCTTTACCATTGTGAGAACGCTAAGACTCCTAAAGAACAATTCCAAGTGCAGATGTTGCTGAATGAAAAGGTGTTACCCTTGGCTCACTCACAGGAAACTGTTTCTTTGTATGAGGATCTGAAGAACTACTACAAGGACATCCTTCAGGGTTGTCAGAACAGTGAAGAATGTGAATTACCAAAGGTGAACAGTACATCTGATGAGCTGTAAGCCACTAGAGAAAACTTTTAATTCTTCACCAAACTGTAGGGGTGATTACATGCTTTTAAGAGGTAGGCAATCCTTTGATTACAGAGAATTTTCACATTTCTTGAGTATTTCTTTTCACAGAAAAATGTTTCTTTTTGGATCTGGACATGATATATAAGAAATGATTCTTCACTGGGGCAGCTTCTTAAAGAGAAAAATATCTATTTATTGAAACAGCTGGCACTGCAGATATTAACAGAAATGAAATTCTTCCTGTTTAAGAAACCTCACACTGAGATAGGAAGGATGTAATTTCAAAATGATACTTGAAAAATGCTTGAGTAACAATTAATAAAATATTAATTGAATGACTCATCATTTGATTGAACTGAGTCTAGGGACTACCAAATGTGCTAAAGTTCTTTTTGCCTTAGGTAGGACAATTCTGGTATTAATTGTCTGTGTTAATCAGAAATGTTGTGATAAACCGAGTATTACTTGGGAAGAAAGCTAACATCTTTCTAGATGAGAGTTTGAAACTTACAGAGCAGAGTCTGATTTAAAGAGACGCTTTCACTGGAGCAAGATAAAAAGTATAATGTGTTTGTTGGTAGTATTTGTAAAACATTTGAATACTTTTTCAATAATTCCTTAAAGCTTCTAATAGGTCTTAGGTTGTCTTAAATTATCATACCACTTTTACAGAGATAGCAGTGGAAGGACAAACAGAACAGTTACCAACAAGTCAGATGGATGGAATCAAAGTTTCTTAAATCTATTGCTTAGCTATCTTTTCTGTTGTTACTGGCTTCTGTTTTTATATTTTGCTTTATGAAATGTATCTTTTGCTTGTTTGATTTTTTTTTAATAAAGACTTCATTATGGCTGGCTTTGTTTTCACAGATTTGAACCTATCTCAAAGAAGTAGTTCTGAGTTCTGTCAAATACCATGAGACTGTTACAATAATAAAATTCTTGTGACTTTACTAACACAGTTTTTTTCTGCTGTCCTTTTTGAATTTTAATCAATAAAGGGTTGGCATTTCAAGTAGCTACGCAATCAGGCTTTTTAAGGCAGTTTTCTTCTAGTAAAATTTCCTCAAATAAATTGACTACTAATCCATTTTATTTTATTTTAATTCATGGTCATTTTAAAGATATATTTTAAAGAGAGTTTTAGGATTTTTGTATTAAAATGTGGTTACTCTTATCAAACAATTTACAGTAAAATTTCAGTTTAATTTACTGCATGAGTTTTTCAGAGTTTACTTTTGATTGGCCAGACCATAGGAAAACAAACACATATTAAGGATATGCATGTGTTTATGGACAAATTGTCATGTATGGCTAAAATTTGAGTACTTTCTGCCAAATTTCAGGGTAAAAATAGAAAAATATCTTTCCAGCTTTAATTTTAAAAAGTGGAAATGGGATTTATTTTTAGCATTGAGAGTTAAAATGTTTTCTGGTTAATATTTAATCAGTTGATTTTTAAAAATTTTTTTTACTCAGTGATACTTTATGCTAATTTATGAATACAATTTTAAAAATTTGAATTTTTTTCTGTTGATCAGAAAACTTTGTTGCTTTCACTTTTGCAAAAATAAGACTAGGATATCTTTTAAAATTAAATTTACCGTGGGGTTATGTAACTTTGCCAATACCTTTTTGAATGGATTTCTAATATTAAAAATAGTAGCACTGATAAGTAAGTAAAGGACTCAAGGCATGGCAGGCATTTGGCATAGTGGTTAAGACTGGTTGAGTTGCCTGGTTCTACACCAGCCTCTGCTGCTGATTCCAGCTCCCTGCTAATATAGATCCTGGTAGGAAGTGGTAATGGCTTATGTGGATTGGGTTTCTGCCACTCAAGTGGGAGACCTGGATTGAGTTCCTGGTTTCAGCTCCACTGAAATAGTTGGGGGCTATTGTAGGCATCTGGGGAGTGGGGAGTAAACCAGCAGGTAGGAGCCCTCCCTGTCTCTCTCTGCCTCTCAAGTACATAAATTAAAAAAAAAAAAAAAGCTACAAGCCAGCATTTGGGAATTATAGAATACTCAAGGGTATTTCAGAAAGTTTGTGGGAAATGGAATTAAAGATAAGTTTATTGTGATGTAAAAAAATTTGCAGTCCATGTATAGTTTTTTTATAATATGCATTTTTTAAAAAAGATTTATTTATTTATTTATTTATTTGAAAGAGAGAGCACATGTGTGCTTCTATCTACCAGTTTACTAACACAATGGCTTCAATGGCTGTTAACGGGCCCATCTGAAGCCAGGAGCCAAGAGCTTCTCAGGTCTCCCATGTGGGTACTTGGGAGTACTTGGGCCATCTTCTGTTGCTTCTCCAGGCACATTAGCAGGGAGCTAGATTGGAAGTGGAGCAGCCAGAACTCAAACTGGCACCCAAATGGGAATGCAGGCACCTCAGGCAGCATCTTTACCCACTATGCCATAGTGCCAGACCCCATAATATGCATTTTACACTAATATTTTGAAGACCACTCATAAATGCCTCCTTGTAGTCACACTGCATGTCAGCATGTGAAAAACCTGAGACAATCCATAGGAAAGAGAAGCACAAGTTTCCTGAGTCATTTGAATCCAGTATCCTATTTTTCACTTCTGAAAGACAAATGGAAATCTATTTTATGTTAAAAATTTACATAATAAGGTATACAACTCTATGCCAAAAATCATAAAGAAGATGCATACATCATTTTGTTGGTCACTGATCTTCAAATGAATGATGTCCATAAAATAGATGATTAGTGGTAAATGCTCTGAATTTACCATGAATGTTCTCAGTGCTGATTATTTCTGGAAAATTCTGGTGTCCTCATTTTTCTTCAAATGTTGTGAATATGTAGATAAAAGAAGAAAAATGGTAAGGACTCATACCCATTATGTTTTGTCGAAGTTACATAACATTTGTTTTAAACCAAATAAGAGCAGTTTTGAGAACTTCTGTGTACTTCCTTGATCTTACTGTCCTTACTCCTTGCCTAGAGGTGACCATCAACATAAAATTCAAGATTAACCTTTCTGTTTCATGCTTGATTCTGGAAACTTGTATTATTGTTGTGGAAGTTTTTAAATTTTCTGTAAAAGGACTTAACTGCATATCATTCTTGAATGAGTGATTTATTATTACTGCTGTATTTGTTTTCAAGGCTTTCTTAATCCTAATCATTTGTTGTAAAAATTAATACTTTGAATTCAATACCCATTGAGTTCTTTTTATGTCCAAATATTAGACTGCATCTGTGAGCATAAAAAAATGAATGAGCCTAATTATTTTATTGAAAGGGGTTATCTTCAAAAAACTTGAATTTACATGGTGTCTGACATTAACTAAATAATACTGACTCTTTGAATACTTTATACAATAACAAAGACTATATAAATTTTATGAGTTATTTAATTTCATTGTTGAATAGGACCATAGAGTCATCTTTGATTATATAAAAATGTGTCATATATAAAATATTTCAGGATGGGGGAGTAAGTGGTGTGTTTTTTTTTTGTTTTTTGTTTTTGTTTTTTTTGCAAGTGTTAAAAATGTTGTGATATTCTGGTGCTGTTATTCTCATTTAGGAAATGCCTGAAACTGAAGAATCTCATGGTAAAATCTAAAGATCCTACCCAGGATAGGATATATGAAAAGCTGAACATTGAGAAATAATTTTTGAATAGGAAGGGTTCTTTCGCAATAGGTCACCAAATTACTCAATTAGGCCAAAGTCTAATCCCTTTTGTTTCTGACATTTTAGTTGATTAATTAATACCTACTGACATTAGGTGTCTTTCTTCCTAATCTATAACTTGTGTGTATTGCATTGTGCTTAGTTTCTTCTGATTATGTAGTTTCTGCTCTGTCACACAGTCACTCATTGATACTGTTTTTGTAAATGATCTTAATTTTGACACTGAAAGCAGAAATCATTGTGTAAGAAAAAAGTGTTTTTTGTAGGTGTAATCAACTTTCATATCTCTGAATGTGTTCCTTTTGCAGGCTGCAGAACTGATTTTTTTTTGCACGCTCTTGAAGATGTCTAAGTAAACACGCAACTGATCCAGTAAATGTATAAATTTTGGGATCACGTTTCTCCCATGTGGCATTTCATGTGGTCCATTAATGATACTTGGAATTTGACTGTCTTTTGCCAAATATGAGCTGAAAGTAAATTTAATAAATAATGCATTACTATATAGTATGCTCATATCTAGATTTTTACCTTGAATTTGTATCACAGGCCTCTCCATTCTCTTCTAACCATTCTTTTTCTCTCAAGCATTTTTTTCTGCTCACCTGGCAACCTGTTGTACTCTTAAGGGTCTTCTCAGTCTAGTCAGCTATTTTATTTATTTGTGTGTGTGTATGTGTTTGTGAATGGTTTTCTGAGATAGTTCCACTGCAGGAAAAGATGTGTGGTGTCAGCTTCATACCTGGCCACTTGGTAGATAACTTTTTTTTTTTTTTTTTTTGACAGAGTGGACAGGGAGAGAGAGACAGAGACAGAAAGAAAGGTCTTCCTTTGCCGTTGGTTCACCCTCCAATGGCCACCGCGGCCGGCTCACCGCGCTGATCTGAAGGCAGGAGCCAGGTGCTTCTCCTGGTCTCCCATGGGGTGCAGGGCCCAAGCACTTGGGCCATCCTCCATTGCGCTCCCTGGCCACAGCAGAGAGCTGGCCTGGAAGAGGGGCAACCAGGACAGAATCCAGTGCCCCGACTGGGACTAGAACCCGGTGTGCTGGCGCCGCAAGGCGGAGGATTAGCCTGTTGAGCTGCGGTGCTGGCTAGATTAACTTTTAAAACTTTGACTATTTTATCATTATTGAATTAATACGTTTTAAGATAAAAGATTGTTAATTTTATTTCTAAAACTGGTCCTAATTCAGTATCTTCCTGGTACTATATATTTTTTTCCTGGTACTATATTCTAAAATATCAAACCGTTCAAACCCAAAGAGTTCATGTTCACACTCTTATTTGTTATACTGAAGCAACAAATATTTGTTCATTAAAATAATAGCCTTCTGAATTAGATAACACTCCCAGTATAATAGCAAAGCATAATTATAATATTTATTTTACACTATTCCTAAAACAGCTAGTATAAAAAATAGTTTGGATGAAAGTCTATAGATTTTTCTTTTTTTTTTTTTATTAGAGTTCATCTGACCAAACTTGGTTCTGTTTGTCTTCGTTAAACATTTAAGAGTGTAGGTGCTTTTGCAAACTCAACAAATTTTGTGGAGAAAAAAATCCTGGTGTGGTGTCGATTACTTATGTTCTGGTGAAATAAATCTAAGGATTCAATTCTTATAGACAAAAAATTAATTGGAGACAGCGAGAGCATTCATCTTGCTCTAGCCATTATTGCTCTTCTCTTTGAGAGACCCATTAGGTTCTTTTCCTTACACTTTTTTTTTATTCTTATCTTCCTAAGAAAGTGAGAAGAGCAGTCTTGGTGAGAAGATAGTGCTTATTTTCCATGTGCAGGGCTGCTCCCTCAGGCTCTCTGTCAACATTTGCCTTATGGAGATTAGGTTGAGAGCCTGGTTTTCTAATTTGATTACTTTAGTTACAGTTTTGTGTTCTCTTTAATCCACCTAAGTGTTACTCATAGTGGGGAAAAAATAAAGCAGTGGAGTCTCACGGCTTTGCTTGCTACTTCAGTAGATGGGACTAAAAAGAGAAATTGAGATCCTTGTCATAGGACATTGGAAAAGTGAGATAGAAGCAACACCCCTTTGCCTTTTTCTTTCTGAGAGAAACAGTAAATGAAACGCAGATTGAAGTGTGGCTTCTAGAAGTAATGGGATGTTACATCTGCTCGAGTCTGGTGGAAAGGCTTCAGGTTTCTCTAGTGAGGAAAATAGAGAGTGGGCAACACTGGCACTTTTCAAATAGGTGCTGCTGATCTTTGCCTCAGTCTCCTAGTAGGTGGGTCAGTAATACTTGCTTTTCAAGTCTAGCTGTCATCAG